AACTCTCTCCTCCTCTCTCTCTCTCTCCGATGCGGACAGTCCGTCGTCGCGCACCAACCCACGAAGTCGTCACCCCGCTTAGTCCTCCCGCACCCGTCGGATTCGCCCGTGCCCACAGTCCGTCGTGGCCCACGTCAATCCCGCGCGTTCGGCACCAGCTCGTCGGGTCGCCCAACTCCTACTCTACTCACCGCTTACTTCGCTCGTGTGCCGACCCTTCCTGATCGCGCAACCCCGAGCTTCCAACAACGGGTTAAGAGAGCTGACTAATTGCGCAGCCGAAATTTATAGAGTGCATGCATGAGCGAAGAACACGGACTTGCCAGGACTTAGAGTGAGGATTAGAGAGGGAGCGCCTGCGTTCTGCATGATCGAGCCACGACGTGGGGGACGTAACCCTTCTCCACGCATCGATTCGAGCATGCAAGCCGCGGCCTTCAAAAATTTCAGCAAAAGAAAGAGGGGGAGGGCGGGATAGACGAAGTGCAAGAAGAAAGATACAGTTACAACAACACCCGCTCAAAATTACATTTACACACGTGATTAAGGGCGCCCACTAATCCGAGTACCGTTGCAGCCGCATGAAGAGGCGCGTAGACAAAAGGCGTCGCGCGGCAGGAAAAATCCTAATTACTAAATTCCTAAATTCCTATCTAAATGCGAAAAATCAAAAAGCACGAATTCCAAAAGGAAAGTCCAAAATTTCGAGAGCCATCGGGGCTTGACAAAATTCGAAAGAGACTCAAGAGAAAAATTCAAAAGAACGAAGCAATTTCCCGCGCGATACCCACGCCCAAAAGATCGAAACCGAAAGGAAAGAAACGACGTCAACATTTATTAATCGCGCGCGGTGGTGCGCCAGTCATCCAGCCGACCAATCAATCAACTGGCCTCCCGAGACACACCCAGCTCCGAACCCAGTCCTTCGAAAAGAAGCGACGAAAAAGACGAAAAAGCGAGGACACGGATGCAATTTTCCCACCGATCCCAATCTCCCGTAATTGGCCCAATCTTCCCAGCTTAGGACCCCTCGTTGCAACCGCACAGAAAATCGCGCGTTACAGAAAGTGGTTCGTCACATATGTGACGCCCAGGGGGTTCCAATATTAGCAAGCTCCTGCTTGCTTGTTGACACGTGTCGATTTCTCTAACCGATCGCCACGCGGAGCACTTCCTCCTATGCCACTTACCGTTTGATTGCGTGGGAACGTCATCCAACGTGGCAACACTGCTCTTCTACTAGTTCCTCAGATTGGGCTCTCGACGATCCAAGGACGGGATCTTTCTCGTGTCGTCGCCGCGACACGCGTCCATTACCGCTACATCAGTAATTAACCGGAAGGGGGAAGGGAAGGCGATACGCGTATGAGGGAGGGCGGGGCGGCTCCATCGTAAGCTCGGGTATGAAGCGCCCGATCGCAGTGAGGTCGTAGGGAAGTTCTTGAAAACGGACAATGCGATGGAAGCGGGGGAATCTCTGGCCGCTGCGGGGAAGGGAAGCGAGGTAGTCTGGGGAAAGGGATACGAGGGTTCGGAGGACGTCTGTGAGGAACCGATCATGGTTCTCGCACGCGGGGAAGGTCCCCGTAACGATGCAGTAAACCTCTATATGGTTACAGCATCGCCACGCGGCGCTAAGGAGCAGAACGTGGAGGGAGTAGTCGGGGACAGCACACCGAACGGAAGGGTGGGGGTGGACAGTCAGCTCTAGGCGGGCGGAGTAGAAATGTCGGAAAGTGGCGATGGGGAAGGGATTACGGGGGTAGACGACGCGATGGAAATATTGATTGAAGGAGAGATAGCTAAGGGGATGGTGGTATATGGATCGGGGACGAAGGGCTAAGCCCCTCATTGACACGTTGACGAATTGGGGGACGGGCGGAGGCGGAGGGGGACGTAAATCGGGATCGGGATCGGCGCCTTGTCGTCGCGGCGCCCGAGGTCGTGGAAGCAAGGTCTCCATGTTCCGGCTTGGGCGGCTCGGTATCCTTGAAAGGATCGTTTGGTGCGGGATCGATCGCCAGCCGCTTTCCTTCCGCGATCTCTTTCTTGCGCTGCGCAGCAGCCTCCGGGTTTTCCTCTCGCCTATCCGGTCCTGGCACCCACTCGAGCTCGTCGTGCATTGGCTCCTGGTCGTCCCCGCTTTCCACTTCTTCGTCGTCTTCGTCCTCCTCCTCACTTTGCTCGCCCTCGCTGTACTCGCTATAGGCCTCTTCCTCTTCCTCCGAAGTCTCCCCCTCTGCTTCTTCTTCTTCTTCAACTTCCGCCGACTCTTCTTCTGCTTCGCGCTCTTCTTCCTCGTCCTCGGCCAATCGGGCCGCTGCTTCCCCGACCTCTCTCCTCAATTCTCCTTCCGATTCCTCTTCGGCCTCCTCTTCTGCTCTCAGTGCCGCCCACTCAAACGCCGTTGGTTGCCGAAAGAAGCGGGGATTAGTCAAGCTGTGGACGTCCTGGTACTCGCTACGGGAGGGAAAACGGTCGTCCGCCCAGCGCTCCTCGATACAAGCCGACCACTGGAGGCTCGGGGCGAGAGTCCTTGAGAGGGTATGTGGCACGGGTTCTTCGTCGCTCTGAGAGATGATGTCGAGAGGGAGTTCGTCGACCAATCGCGCGATCACAATCGTAAGTTCGCGCACGATCTGTAATCGGTTTCCCCGATCCACTGCTCCAAAGACGAATCCCAGAAGATCTCCCGCCACATTGGTCCTCCACGCCTGAATGACGAGCAACTCCACACTTTCTGATGCGGGCCTCTGATCGCCTTCCCACTTCCAATTCAGATCCACTCGTAGCAGGCAAAACGAGAGCTCGACAAATTCTGCACGCCACAGCCTCCAACGGTCCGGATCAACGAGGGGTGCTGTCAGTGGCTCCAGACGGAAGGAGAGACGAGGGTAGTGAGAGGACTCCCAGAAGATGGGGAAGAGAGAGGGAGGAGAGAACGTCGAGATCGGCGCGCGGCTCATCTGCGCGGCTGGAAGGGAGCAAGTTCTGGGAGGACGACAGGTGGCTCGCGTAGCGTCGTGCGCAGCGTGTTGACTTCGATGCCGTCGACAGGATAGCACTCGTCACCGTGCCTTGTGAGCCGTCGATCCCAAGCAGTGGCCAGATCGCGACCCCACCGGTACAAGGTGCTTTTGATGGCGGCTTGCCGCGCCGGATCGAAGGCGGTGATGTCGCCGCTGAAGACTACCACGGTAGACACGTGGCTGATTCCCGGGGCCGCTCGCCGTTGGAACGCCGTTGCCTCGGTCAGCACCACTACCTGGGGATTGCTCGTGAATCGGAACTCTGCCGCGCCGTATACACCCGCAGTGCAGAAGAACTGCGCAAGGCGCATGAAGTCGGGGCTGATCCGCGGATGATGCACTTGGCGGATGGCTGCGATCTCTCCCCGTGGCATCCGCAACTGATCACTGAAAGCTCGCTCGATGGCGAAACTCATGGCGATGGTGGGGGTGACGGGGTGGCAGAGAGGGAGCAAGAAAGGGAGGGAGATGGCGGAGAGTCCGAGCCGTCGGCGGCGGCTTCCTCAGAAAGAGAGATCGAGGGAGAGGGAGACGGAGCAGAGGGAAGGAGGCGAAGATAGGACACGTGGCGTGTGATCGGACGAGCCGATCGACTGCCAGAGACTTCAGGCGCGAGACGAACGGTGTCCACGTCGTTGGGGCCGAGCTCGATCACGCAATATCGCCCGAAGAATCGTGGCGCTAGCTTACCCTGGCGAGCACATTTCCTCACCTGCACCACGTCCCCCAATTTGTTCTGGGGCCGCGGACCCGCATTCCCATTTCGGGCCTCGTAGCTCCGGACCTGCCGGCCTTGGGCTAGTTCGGTCATTTTCTGTCGTTTTCGGGCTAGCCTGGGCAGTGACCGTTCCATTAGCTCTAGGTGCCGTTTAGCCTTGTCCCTAGCCGTGGCCCTGGTGGGTCGTCGGTTCAATGTAGACTCGTCTGGGAGGCTTGGTATCGAAACGCAAGCGACGCTATTGGTCCTTAATTGGAAGGGGCTTAGCCCCGTCGATTCGTGAGGCGTTCCACGATGGACCGCCAGGATGTGATCGACGATGTCGGGCCAGGGCCTCGGATCCCGTGCCGCGATATTTCGTCGCAATGCGGTCTTTATCACCCGGTTAGCGTTTTCAACCAGCCCGTTGGATTGCGACATGTGGGGTGTGGTGTTCCGTATGGCGACGCCATGTATGACCAGATTCCTTAATACTTCTCCCCTGAATTCAGCCCCGTTGTCGGTCAGGATTTCTTCCATATCCTGATGCATCCCGAGGAAACAGTTGACATATCGTGCGATTTCCGTGGCTTGCCGCGTGCGACAAGGATACGCTTCGATCCATTTCGAGAAATGGTCGACAAATACCAATAGGATTGAATATTCGGAACTATTAGGGTCAGGGGGCACCACTATATCGGTAGTGTCCATGCTTACTCTCTGAAATGGTCGTTCAACAACTATGGGCACTATCGACCTTGGCGGCTGAATCGGCGCTTTATCAGCGGTGCAGACTTGACAGGTGGCGACGATGTACTTCACATCGTCGCGGATATTGGACCAGTACCACTCATTTTTGTCGATAGCGGACTCCGTGATTCGTACAGCAAAATGAGCTGCAGTTTCCTCTTGGGCTGTCTTAACCCAGTCATACCGCATGAACGGATGCGGCACAACCATCCAAATCCCACTGTCGTGGCATCCAAAAATCGAGCCTCGGTCGGAATCTTGTCGGTCCGGCACAAGGGGCATAACCACGGTTTACTGTCGTTTCTGTACTGGATGCACGAGCCATGGGCTCGTGCGACACACTGTCGGCAATCTATCCAGTCCGCATACCCTTCCCCATTAGGACACAAGGAGACCGAATATACGCGGGAAATAGCTTTGCAAAAATAGCAAAATTTGTCAGGCAGGGAAAGGAGAGACGAAGAGGAAGGGGGAGAGAGAGGGGTAGTGGGGTTACCTCCATCACCCATCGCCACCGTTTTGCTTCTTGCCACGTGGGAAAACTGCCACCTGTCCGTACTTAGGCTCGTTGGTCAAGTCCGGCTCTTTCCACGGTGTAATTTCCTCGCCCTTTGGTACCTTGGCAGGTCAATGCAGACGTGTCAGCCCGTCCGCGTTGCCATGTCGCTCTGTCTTTCGATGGACGATATCGAAGTCGTATTCTTGTAGTCGCACCGCCCATCGGCCAATCATGCCCGTGTAGTTGGTGAGTTTCTTCAGCGCCAACAGAGGCTCGTGATCCGTTACGAGGCGAAACTTCTGTCCGTAGAGATATGGATGGAAGTGTTGGATTCCCCAAACTACCACGTAACACTCACCCTGAGGTGCGGAGTCGTTTCTTCGTTCGTCCGGCACAGTTCGTGACGCGTACTCGATGACGTGTTCGCGACCATCGTTCCCCTTTTGCGCTAGAATAGCGGAAATAGCCTCCGATTGCCAGTCCGTGATGAGAATGAACTGCTTCGAAGGGTCTGGTCGAATCAAAATAGGGGCCATTGCCAGAGCGTCCTTCAGGGTTGCAAAGGCCTGCTGGCACTCTGCGTCCCAGCTGAGAGGCTGGTCCTTCCGTAACAGATTCGTTAGTGGTCATGCAATCGCGGCAAAGCCCTTGATGAAGCGCCGGTAGTACGACGCCAACCCCAAGAAGGCTCGAACCTGCGTCAGTGACGTGGGAACCATGGCTTCCTTCACTGCCGCAACTTTTCTCGAGTCCGGCCGCAATCCTCCACGTGTCACGACATAGCCCAAGAACGAAATTTCCGAGTGGAAAAATTCGCTCTTCTCAAGCGCAATCTTGAACCCAGCGTCTCTCAACGCGCCCAATGTCCATTCGATGTGTTGCGCGTGCCCGTGATAGGTTTCCGAATAGACCAGGATGTCGTCCATGTACACGACCACGCAGAAGTTAATCATTCCTTGCGTCAGCCGTGTCTTGTTGACGAAGTTCTGGAACGTCATGTTCATCGCTCGCTGAAACGTGGCAGGCGCATTGCAAATCCCCATCGGACACCGAACCCACTGCCACGTGCCCTCGAACAATACAAAGGCCGTCTTCGGTCGATCTTCCTCTTTAACCAGAATATGATGGAAGCCATGCCGAATATCAAGCTTGCTGAAATAATTAGCGCACCCAATCGCATCCAACAAATCATCAATCCGGGGGAGGGGATACACATCTTTGATCGTGATCTCATTCAGCTTGCGATAATCAATGCAAATGCGAATCGCCCCGTTTTTCTTGGGTACTAATACTACGGGAAACGACCAAGGTCCGGTGGCGGGTTCAATCCAGCCGCTGGCTTCGAACTCCCGAATTCGTTCGAGACCCTTTTTGCGTTCAATCAAGGAATACCGGTAAGGTTTGCAATGAATCGGAGAGTGATTTCCCATCTGGATTTCATGTTGGATTACTAGCAATAAACCAATGTCAGTGTCTGTCACGCTAATCGCTCCTTGATATTTCGTTAGAATGTCCGCAATCACCCGATGGATTTCATCCGGTACGTACTGTGGAACGTGTAGTTCGAAAGGTTGATCCCCGATCCGAACGTCAAGCTGTTTCGTGTACGTATGTTTTGCTTCGTCGGGCGGAGGCGCCGAGATGAACGAATGGTCCGATTGCCAGGAGAACACCGTGGTCATCATCTGGGCGTCTTTTTCCCGGATTGCCACGTGTCCTTCCGAGGTGATCCCGTCGCAAACATCCTGCCATGGCACGTCCTTAGTTGCGATCTTTATCTCCAGCCCGTCTGTTTCTTCTTCGAAACGTCCAGGGGGTTCCAGAGAACTTGCTTCCGCTCCCAAGCATAACAATCTCACTTCTTTGACAGTTGTCAATAGAGACTTGGGTAATTCCGTAATGTCGCAATAATGCTTTTTGTCACTATATCTGGCGAGGAGAGGGGTGATTCCTTCGTACAACGTTTGAGGGGGTTCCAAGGAATCGCCCATCCTCAAAATCTGCACGAGGGGTTCACCCAAGATCATCGCCTTGGTCCTTTGAATCTTTCGGCTGGTCAGTTGCATCGTTCTCGCTATCGTTTTGGGCGGCGGGTAGTAAACACATTGTCGTACCAATTTCAAGATCTCCGGATCATCGTCGTCACTGCTTTCCGCATCATTCGTTGAGGACTTTTCCTCTGCGGATTTCTCCCAGGAGATCATGCGGAGAGTCCCTGCCATCATCGGTGAAACGTGCGGAACCGCGTTAATAGTAGTGCGAAGGGTCAATCGCATGGGCACAGCGTAGGGTTTTCCTCCTGTATTTCGGAGGACGATCGATTGTCGTTCGAAGTCCAGGTTTGCTCGTAATGCCACAAGAGCGGGAAGTCTGAAAAGAACGTCGTACGTATTAACATCTAGTACTACAACATCCCCCAGCGCGTGCACTTTTCCCAACCGGAAAACGACATTGGTCATCTTTCCCACGGTTTTAATCCTTTCTTCGTCAGCCGAAACGAGTTGATCTTTTTCAGAAAGCATGATCAGGTCGTTCTTCCTTCCTGCCCTTTCGACCACTCTTAGTGAAATAGCCAACACAGCTGCTCCCGAATCTATAATCGCGTTGTAAGGAATTCCCCAAATTTCTATATCGCACTCGACGGATTTCCACGGAATTGGTTTAATCCGCAGGAAATTATCATCTTTCTGGATTAAACCTACCCGTATCGGATCCGAAGTACTTGCGGGGTTTTCTTCGGGCGCGGGGCCTTTGGCCTTCGCGTTCCGTGCTCGGGCGAGGGCAAATCGCTTTCAGTTGGCTTTGCAATGCTGTAGCATTCGCTCATTGGCTTGCTCGGAGAT